GCTACTGCTAAGCTGATTACGGGAGACAAACTTCATTCGATCAGTGAAATCACATCATCGAACTCGCTACCGAACTCATCGTAAGCGGATAGCGAACGACGTGAATGTTAGCTCCAGGAAGACGCTAACAGTGCAACTCTCTCAGAATGTCGCTCATCGAGTTCTATGGACTCTTCCAATATTGGTCAGAGGCATCGAGCGTGGCGTGACGATACTGTTACTATGGTCTCAGAGGTATAGTTAAATGAAGGGACTTTTCTAGGAATTTATCTATCTAATCTAGGGACCTCGAACCATCAAAGTGGACTGGGCAATATCGTAGCAGGTGTCTCCAACATTTAAGTCTGCCACGCATGACCATGACAAACACCGTCACTGGGATATATTCACAAGCAAAACATTTGAGGTGAAACATCGTTACGACAGTCAATGTCTTTTGGCAGTTTCAAAAGAGATTTTCAGTTTCCTCGCGAGTTCGGTTTCCTCCTCGGTGCTCTGCTGGCAGCTTCGCCACTCGAGTCTCTCAGTCGGAAGGCCCATACACTTCACCTGAGAAACAAAGCGAATGCGTCTCAGCAAGGCTAGCAAGATATGAAGCAGGTCAACTTGGCCTACCACAGCTTCTCGACCGAAATTCATCGGAACACTTGATGTTCTAGTCGGCGTCAGAAGGAGTCGAACTTTGTTTGGGCCTGGCAGCTGCATGTAGATATATGGAGGCGTGCCAGACTCTGACGTGGTCTTAGCGATGCCTGATATGGAGTCAGCGAAGGCAACAACACTCGAGTGAGTTACCTTCGATCTCGTCCCTGGAGTATCTTCCCATCTTGTGGACCTTGAGCTCATGGTCATCAGCCATAGTGGTGACCTGCTCTAGCCATTTCTGGGAGTCTGCAGGCTTTCCTCCTTCTCGAGGAACCCCGACCAAATGCACCTACCACAGACAAAGTGTCCACAGGCGCCTACCCCTGTAGATAATGGCAGACCCACCTGCATGTGCATGGCTGCTGAGGACCGCATTTGAGCCCATCTTTCGAACACCACGACATCGCTGTTGTATTGGGACTCCATCACATAAGTTACTTCATCAATGTACCTACACCATTCGAATTTCGACGCAGTCGTTCCGAATCTAACGACATTATAAAGCAGCGTCCTTAGAATCCAAAATCCTTCCATTTTCAGAACGCATCCACGAGGCTACGTGCCTCAACCTACT